ACACCTGCCACCATGCCTGGCTAATTTTTGTCTTTTTAGTAGAGACAGGGTTTCATCATGTTGGCCAGGCTGATCTAGAACTCCTGACCTCGAGCAATCCACCCACCTCGGCCTCCCAAAGTGAGCAACTTCGCCCCGCCTGAAGACTTTCCAGAATTTTCCAGGTCAGGCAACTTGCAGCCAACCATTGGTCCCAAACCCTTGTTTGTCAGGGCCTGGCCAAAGAACACTTTAATTCCTTATGGCTACTTTCCCGTAAACCAGACAGATCGAGGTGGATACGGATTCCTCCACCTGGCCCACGGAGTCAGAGAGTTTCAATGCTAGGGGAGGTCACCGAATCACACCTCTCTCACTGGAACCCTGATGGAAGGCCAAAGGCCGTAAGGGAGGTGGGGAGACCCTGAGGAGAAAAGCACAGACTTGCCCATGACTGTGTTTGCCTGACTGCCCAGCACGAAGTGGGGCCAGAGGGCCTGTGTTAGGGAGACTTTCCTTATACATTTCTGTAGACAGACAGTGCCCCAGACACTGCCCTTCACCCACCCCTGGACCCTGCGGCCCGGCTGGTTTCCCTCCGTCCTCTCCAAAGCCCAGCAGCTCTCCCACTCCCCTTTCTTGAGCAGAATGACGATCCTCTGCACGCCTGTTAGTTATGCATGCGACAGGCTGTGAGGGGGCGTGAAATGACACAGGTCAGACCCTCAGAAGGTGCGGGCACGCAGGCCGCTCCACGTCCTGTCGCTGTGTCATTCTCATCAGCTTCGCTCACGCTTTATTTTCCCTTCTTCCTGCCTCAGAGCTCTTCGGGCCTTTATTCATGCATATTTCCATCTCTCAGGTCTGCATGGAACCCGTGTAGGATGGAAGGATGATTTATGGGGCAAGGGGAGAGCATGTGGAGCCATTTGTAACAGGAAAAGTGAGGGCTGCTTTCAGATAAAACAAGACAGCGGAGTCCCGGAAAGTCAGAGCCCTGCGGGGCCTCGTCTCCTGAACAAGGAGACCCAGGGCCACCGGCTAAGGATGCTCAGGTGTCCCCCCTACTCTGGGAAGCCTCCCTGAGTGATGGGGGAGGGACGTGTACCTCTGAAAGCTATAAAGTGTCTAAAGACCCATGACAGTCTCTCTCACACATGCACACCGTGACTGTACCATTGCCTGGCTCTGTTATTATCCGAGGGCACCAAAATTATCCATGTTCCTGTTGCCTTCTCTTCTCCCACAGAAAACCCATTTTCACAGTGCCTGACATCTGGCAGCTGCTGCAGAAGAAAACCCCTGATGGGCACAGCGTGCCTGTGGGGAGACCTGCTTGTGGCAGCCACAGCTGGCGTCTGACCCGCTCATGGCATGTGTCGTTTGAAAAGACTAAATCTCCAAGGGCAGAATGCCAGGCAATGTGGAAGGCTGGGTGGGGAGAGAAACGCCAATGCCTCTCCTGTGGACCACACTGGCGACTGTCTCCTCCGTCGGGGGGGCCCGAGAGCAGGGCAGGGAGGGTGGCCAGGGAACAGCCAAGGCCCAGGGATCCAGGCGGGGTCCACTCTTGGCCGGTGGGCTTTGTTCATTTCCGTCTGCCTCTCATGACAGCAGCTCTGTGGGAAGGGCTGGCTCAGCGTCCAACCTGTCCCCCAAGAAATCTGTCCAGTGAAAAGGCGGAGGCGTCCAGTCCTCTCCCAGACATCCCCGGGACAGGCGTTTCCAGGGTTCTTTGTGCCTGAGCCTTCTGACGTGTCCTGCACTGCCTTCGGTGATGTGTTTTTCCTCTCACTCAAGGCCCCTTCCCTTTTCTGTTCCCATCTTTTCTCTCCTTGCACTTTTTTTTTCTTTATTTTTAGAGACAGAGTCTTGCTCTGTCACCACGACTGGAGTGCAGTGGTGTCTCACTGTACTTTGACCAGAAAAATCGGTGATGCTTGGTTTTCTTCTTCCTGGAGGGAGTCTTGGGGAGGCTGGGGCGTGTGAGGCGGGCCGAGGCTCCTGTCCGGCTGTGCCCTTCCCCGACATCTTCTCAGGCTGGGTCCTCACCAAGTCTAGCATCTCCACCATGCAGGCACACTCCCTGGAGACTCTGTTCCCCCCACCACCACTCCTGGGGGGCGCTGTGTTTCCTCGGCTGGCTTTCCACTTGTAGCCCAGGCCTTTCTGAAATCCATCATTTCCCCCTCCCCCAAATCCAAGCCTGAGAATTCCACCTCTAGGGGATGGAGGGAGTGGAGGACAAGGAGGATAAAGGCAGTTACTATGGTGCTGATGAAATCTGATCCTGGCCACTGAAGGGTTATTACTCATCCTGGCTTCCAGGGCCCCAACCTTGAGAACTCCCTCAGCTGAAATCCCCCGTGCTCCCAGTGCCCGGGAGCCTGGAGAGCTCCCCAGCGCCCAGCACCAGCTGCAGGCTTACAGACAGGGCCCGCTTCCAGGGCTGACAAAAGTGCACCGGGAGCACAATCACCCTGACATTTACAAGTGAATAGCGAGCTGAAACTCAGGGTGGGAGCAGGCTGGGAACAGCCAGATGGCTGCTGTCCAAAGAGGTGCATCAGAAAGGTGACCAGATGCGCTGCATAAGGGGAGAGGTGGGGCCGCTTCCCACCCACTTCCTGAGGAATCCCACGATGGCGACCAAGTTTGTCCTTCCATTCTTCTACGGCTTTTTTTCCTCCCCCCTTTTGTTTTCCATAGTTCAGAGTCAGCTTTCTTCTTCAAACCACAGTGCTTCGGTTTTTTTGGTTTTGGCAATAATGCTTCTTTCCAGATGGACTTCTCAGGTGGCCTCATCTGCGCCACTCAGTTGGCTGGTCCCGGATCTCAGCCCTTCCTGGGGCTGCAGCCACCCCTCACGCTTCTGTGCCCCCAGCTTCAAAGCAAAGAGGGCTTTGATTCAGTGTTTCAAAAATGATGAAAATGTAAGGAATTCTCTTTTTAGAAGATCAGAATGAACACAAATCCCTGTCTGCATTTCCTTCCGGATCGTCTTTGATTTGTGACGTGGCCTTTGCAAATCATCGAATGTGCTTGGGACAAGGGTGACATCCTATGGGGCACTGAGTTTGTGTGTGATGGGAGGGGATTTGCTTTAATGGTGAGGAAGGGATGGCTTCAGGATGTGTCTGTCCTCTGGAGCATGGCCCTGCAGCTCCTCTGAGCTGGCCTCTGTCCACCACTACTGGCTCATCTCTCCGTCCCTCACCTTCCTCTCTCTGCGCCAGCTCTAGTGAACTACTTTCAGCTCTTTTTTTCTTTTTCTTTTCTTTTTTCTTTTTTTTTTGAGTTTCACTCCAGTCACCCCAGGCTGGAGTACAATGGTGCAATCTCGACTCACTGCAACCTCTGCCTCCCGGGTTCAAGGGATTCTCCTGCCTCAGCTTCCCAAGTAGCTGCGATTATAGGTGTGCACCACCATACCCAGCTAATTTTTTTTTTTTTGTATTTTTAGTAGAGACAGAGTTTCACCATGTTGGTCAGGCTGGTCTCAAACTTCTGACCTCAAGTGATCCACCCGCCTTGGCCTCCTGAAGTGCTGAGATTACAGTCGTGAGCCACCATGCCTGGCCGACTTTACAGTTCTGAAGGGGACGGCTGGGCCTCCCCGTCCCCGTATCTCTGCAGGACGGCTCCTTTTGCCTGCAAAGTGCTATTTGCTCTGAGTGTTGGTGCTCAGAACTCGCGTCCCTGGGAGTGAGTACCCTCCCTCGGTCTCCAGAACTCACTGCCTCCACCTGCCTCACATGTGGTCCTGGATAGTCTGCTCATGTCTCTGTTACCCTACTGCACTAAGACAAGTCTGTGTCTTTTTTTTTTTTTTTTTTGAGACGAGGTCTCGTTCTGTTGCCCAGGCTGGAGTGCAGTAGTGGCATGATCATAGCTCACTAGAACCTTGAACTTCTGGGCTCAAGTGGTCTTCCTGCCTCAGCCTCCGGAGTAGCAGACTACAGGTTCAAGCCAGCATACCTGGCTAATTTTTTTTCTGTTATTGAATTTTTTGTAGAGATGGGGGTCTTACTGTGTTGCCCAGGCTGGTCTTTAATGCCTTCACTGAAGCAATCCTCCCACGTCAGCCTCGTAAAATGCTGTGATTACAGGCGTGAGCCACCACAACAGCCTATGTCTTTTCTCTGTTTTCCTACCACATAGCAGAGTGTCTGACACATGGCAGAATGAGTGGAAAGCCCCGCAATGCCAGAAAAGTCGTACACAGCAGTGCACAGTGGTGTGCCTCCCAGATCTCCAGTCTCAGCTGCCAACTGATTCCATCCTTTTTCAGATTTATTTTTATTTTTGAGACGGAATGTTGCTCTGTCACCCAGGCTGGAGTGCAATGGTCCAATCTCAGCTCATTGCAGCCTCCACCTCCTGAGTTCAAGCGATTCTCATGCCTCAGCCTCCTGAGTAGCTAGTATTATAAGCATGAGCCACCATGCCTGGCTAATTTTTGTGTTTTCAGTAGAGACGGGATGTCACCCTGTTGGCCAGGCTGGTTTTGAACTCCTGATCTCAGATGATCCGCCAGCCTCGGCCTCCCAAAGTGCTGGGATTATAGGTATGAGCCACCACTCCTGGCCATCAGGTTTTTTTGGAGGGGGCAGGGGCAGGGGAAGGGGACGGTCTCCCTCTGTTGCCCAGGCTGGAGTGCAGTGGTGAGATCTCAGCTCATTGCAATGTTCGCCTCCCAGTTTTAATTGATTCCCATGCCTCGGCCTCCCAAGTAGCTGAGATAACAGTATGGGCCACCATGCCCAGCTAATTTTTGTATTTTTAGTAGAGATGGGGTTTCACCATGTTGGACAGGCTGGTCTCGAACTCCTGGCCTCAATTGATCTGCCCATCTCAGCCTCTCAAAGTGTTGGGGTAACAGGCATAAGCCACCACACCCAGCCTGATTCCATCCTTAGAAGGGCCTACTCTCCAATGCTAGGCAGTCACTTGCTCTACAGACTAGGCTGCAAGACCGACTTGTCATTCACACGCTTTAGCAGAAGTTGCCAAGGGGGTACCTGAGCTTGTCTGCAATGAAGATGACCCTCCTCTCCAGAAGCAGTGAGGCAAAGACACAGACCAGGTGGCGGACGCTGAGAGAGGAGAAGAGAGACTCAAAGTCCACGTGCTCGAGCCGGGAGTCCAGCGGGCGGCACAGTTCAATCACCTGCCAGGGAACAGGAGCAGCCATGAAGGAGAGGCCCAGCTACGCAGCCAGGCCTCTCATGGGCGCCGCAGTCCCAGGGCTCTGAGGTCCTCAGCAGGGGTGACCCACTGGCGGGGGAAAAGGGAAAGAAAAAAAGCAAAGCCAAAAGATTGGGGGAAAAGAAAGATGCCAGAAGATAGGGAGGAGGTAGGGAAGCAAGTGTCTCACACTCAGTGTGGATGAAGGGGAGGAGAGAGGATGGCAAAATCAATGGGTTTTGGCCCCCAATGGTTGGGAGGCTGTCCCTGGCAACAGCATGTCTATACTCTCCATGGAGAGTTTGTAGGACTTTTGAAAACTGCTCTGCCCCTGAGAGTCCCAGCAGAGAGCATCTCTGTCTCTTGAGGGACTGTTACCATGTTGGCCAGGCTGGTCTTGAGCTCCTGACCTCAGGTGATCAGGAAATCCCAGGCTACTATGGAATGCCCCAGCAGGCCTGAGTAGCACTTTGGAGACTCGATGCCACCTCAAGAAAGTGTTTGTTTTGTTTTTTTTTTGAGACAGAGTTTCGCTCTTGTTACCCAGGCTGGAATGCAATGGCGCGATCTCGGCTCATTGCAACCTCCGCCTCCTGAGTTCAAGCAATTCTCCTGGCTGGGACTACAGGCGCGCGCCACCATGCCCAGCTAATTTTTGTATTTTTAGTAGAGACGCGGTTTCACCATGTTGACCAGGATGGTCTCGATCTCTTGACCTCGTGATCCACCCACCTCGGCCTCCCAAAGTGCTGGGATTATAGGCATGAGCCACCGCGCCTGCCCTGTTTGTTTGTTTTTTGAGACAAGGTCTCGATCTCGCTCTCACTCTGTTGCCAGGCTGGAGTGCAGTGGCACAATCTCGGCTCACTACAACCTCCATCTCCCTGGTTCAAGTGATTCTCCACCTCAGCCTCCTGAGTAGCTGGGACTACAGGCGCACACCACCATGCCTGGCTAATTTTTGTATTTTTGGTAGAGATGGGGTTTCACCATGTTGGCCAGGATGGTCTCAATCTCTTGACCTCATGATCCGCCCGCCTTGGCCTCCCAGAGTGCTGGGATTACAGGCGTGGAAAGGACAGGCTTCAAAGTCTAAGATGAATAATAAGCAGTGCCGGAGCTTGTCTTCCCCGGGAATCTGCCTTACATTATAAACTTATAGAGGCAACATGCCGGGTGCGGTGGCTCACACCTGTAATCCTAGCACTTTGGGAGGCCGAGGTGGGTGGATCATTTGAGGTCGGAGTTTCCAGACCAGTCTGGCTAACTTGGTGAAACCCCGCCTCTACTAAAAATACAAAAATTAGCCGGGTGTGGTGGCAGGCACCTGTAGTCCCAGCTACTTGGGAGGGGGAGGTTGAGGCAGGAGAATAGCTTGAACCTGAGAGGCGGAGGTTGCAGTAAGCCAAGATGGCAACACTGCACTCCAGCCTGGGTGACAGTGCAAGACTCCAGCTCAAAAACAAAAACAAAAAACAAAAATAAAGTTATAGAGGTGATACAGACTTGAAATGTAAACAGATTTCAATAAAATGTATGAATGAAAATGGACTATTAAAAGAAACTAGCATGTTCAGTGCAGGTCCCTAATCTGAGGCCAACGTCATGCAAAGAACACCCCAGCTGCCATGGCACAGTTTTGGGCTTGCCATCTTGGGCAGAGTCCCAGGCTGGATGGATTAAGGGTGGAACTTATGATGAGTGATCTGGGCCAGCCTAAGGGGTGGGGAGAGGACACCCCGGAATTAGACTGCTGACTGAAAGGCAGCCCCTCTGAGCACAGGGACTTGGCTACCTCAACTACTACCTCTGCAGGGAGAAGGAAGGAGTCTGACAACTTACCTCAGTTCCTGAACCTGGCAGGAAGTTCTTGACAAGGATGGTTTTGCCCAGGGCTGGGAAAGGGGCTTCCATGACACTTCTCATGAGTGGCTGAACCAGGGCAGGAGAGATTCCTCGTCTTTTCTCCACCTCATCTAAGATCTGCAAGGGTCAGAAAGGCAGCTTAGCTATTCTGAAGCCAGGGCACCAAGGCGTAGCTCAGTTCTAGAAGTGGGCCCGCCATGGTGACTCAAGAAGCTCTGCTTTCCCCATGAGGTCAAAACTTATATGACAGGCCCTCTGACCCTACGCATGATTGTCCCCAGTTCTTCTCCCTGCTGTGTCCACACCCTTTGCCATGCAGCATTGCAGCTCCTTCTACTCAAGGAGTGAAGTCTTGTTCCTTGCTCCTTTCACTTAGGGTTTGGTCATGTGACTGGTTGTGCTAATACATCCATTCCCACTGGGGGTAATATCACCCTAAGAGGGTAAGAACTGGCTTTTGGGAGGAATGAAAAATCTTAAGATATTATAATGGTTTGTAGCCCTCCAAGGGGTCACAGTGCGTAAACAGATATACAGTTTATTTATGGAATTAAAATGTCATGGGAGGGGATAGCCATCAGGAAAATACAAATCAAAAGCACCATGAGATACCACTTCACACCCATTAAGATGACTTTAATAAAAAGACGGATAATAACAAGTGTTGGCAAGGACACGGAGAAATTAGAACTCTCATACACTGCTGTTGGGAACGTAAAATAGTGAAGCCACTCTGGAGAACAGTCTGGTAGTTCCTCAAAAGGTTAAACATAGAGCTACCATATGACCTAGCACATAGCATTCCTAGGTACCTACCCAAAAGAAATGAAAACATATATGTTCACATAAAAATTTGTACATGATTGTTTGTAGTGGCATTATACATCATAGCCAAAACACAAAAACTTAAATGTCCATTAACTGATGAAGTGATAAATGAAATGTGCTATATCCATATAATGGAATATTATTTAACCATCAAAGCGCTGATACATGCTATAACTTGGATGACTCTTGAAAATGTTGTGCTAAGTGAAAGAAGCCAGTCGTAAAAGGCCATCTCGTGTATAAGATTCCATTTAGGGCCGGGCGCGATGGCTCAAGCCTGTAATCCCAGCACTTTGGGAAGCCGAGGCGGGCGGATCACAAGGTCAAGAGATTGAGACCATCCTGGCCAGGATGGCAAAACCCCGTCTCTACTGAAAATACAAAAATTAGCTGGGTGTGGTGGTGTGCGCCTGTAGTCCCAGCTACTTGGGAGGCTGAGGCAGGAGAATTGCTTGAACCGGGAGGCGGAGGTTGCAGTGAGCTGAAATTGTGC